TAGCTACTTCTTTTTCACATTTATCCTGTAAATCTCTTTTTTCATAATTGCTGCACATTGATAATATTTGTTCACTTACAAATAAATTTGCAGTTTTCATCTTAACTATATGCTGTTTAAGAATCTCAGCAATTTCTATCCAATACCACTCGTCAAAAAAGTAACAATAATTGTGTGTGTGTGTTATATGGTACAGCATTAATGTTAGCACCTCTGTCTAACAACATCGCAACAACGTCTACATTTCTTTTTTCAGCAGCAAGATACAGTGGTGTAACACCTGGTGTAAAGGAAAAGATATATGTCGCATTAACATAAAACTCCGTGTTTTAAAAGATGTTCATCGATCTGTAAATATTATTTCTCAGCTGCAATATAAAGTTATACCTGACTTATCACTCGCATTAATGTTAGCTCCATGATTTAAAAGTAATTCGGCAATTTCCATTTCCATATTTGCAATCGCAATGTGAAGCGGAGTTCTGCCACACACACACACACACACACACACACGCACACGCACACGCACACGCACACGCACACGCACACGCACACGCACACGCACACTGTCTACGATGTGAAAAACATGTGAAACACTGTGCATTACAAAATGTATTTAAAATATTTAATTGTTGGTCTAAACGATACAATGTCATACAAAACTTTGTTTGCACATTTACTATGTTTTTCCCTAGATCTATAGCTAATGTTTATATAGATTAAGGTGATATTAATCGTGGTTTAACATAGTTTCATAGTTAAACGTGGTTTGTTTATGGTTGAACGTGGTTCGATTATGGTTCAATGATGGTTGAACGTGGTTTATTTGTGGTTACACAGTTCAAGTACGATTAAGCATGGTACAATTAGAGTTAAATGTGGATTGATTGAACATGCTACGATCGGAATTAAACATGGATTGATTATATTTTGTTTGACATATTGTTGTACATGTATGTGTGATTATATATTATGTTTCAAAATGCTTTGTAAAACAAGTAAGACGAGACCGTTGCAGACTTGCAATTTCATGTCATATGTGTAAAACGCAGTGCAAAACGAGACAACTATGACTAAGTTGCAAAGTTCTTTTTGGTTAAAAATAACAACGACAAAATATACATATATTTTTATTACTAGTTCTAAAAGAAACAATATATAAAGTATACATATTTACTATGTGTATATTATATGTTAATCTTATAAACTATTGAAAATAAAACATTAGAAGTAAACTATTTTAAGTAACATTGTAATACAAATATAACAACATAAAGAACTACTATAACAATAAAAAGTAGCACATTCTGCTACAATTTGCCAGTATCTTCATCCGATTTTTTGTCTGCTTCTTGTACTTCTTCAGATGAATTGGTTAAATTGTCTTTTGTATAATATTTTCCGATGATGACTGTGTTTATGTAATCGCGTCCTTTGCAAACAATCAGGAACGGCCAGTATGCAAACCACTTTGCGTGTTGCTCCCAGGGAACATCCTCCGGATTTCATTCTCTCAATCCTTCTCCGCAATAATTGCACAACGTCTGATCATCTTTCCCCGTGTAATAAAATCCGGGTGATACTCTATTGACCACAGTACGATTCGACACCGCTCGATTCGACACAGATTTATTCGACACC